AAGGGAACTCGAGCCTGTTGAAGACCTCCCACAACATTTTACATTCTTTGATGCCTCCTCTGAGTCTCTGACTTTGATTGGAGTTGATATCACTCGTGAGAACTCACACCAGGGTTTGCCTGGAGTTCGAGTGTGTGTGTGTGTGCACGCGCGCGTGTGTGGACGTGCACATGGATGTGACATTTTTCATTATAGTACTTATTGGTGGCACATGTTCATCACTCCAAATTGTCAGGTTCACGTGATGTAAAAAGCATTGTTTCTCTATAGTCAGGTAGTTAGTTAGTCAGTTAGTTTATTTGTATGTGTTTGTGTCTGTGTCGGTTCTGCCACCGGCTTGACATCGCGTCTTCCTAGAATTGTCAGGTCTGATGTATGTGGCGTAGGCCATCTCTTGCAGCGCCGTGTTTGATTCGAGTGAGCCGGTGGTTGCCACCGTGCAGACGGTCTCCTTCAATGGGTTGCTCCGCAGTGGCTGGGCCCAGCACCAACGCCGGAGGTCAGGGAGCACGGTGTTCCCGCAGCCTGCTCCCTATGGCGAGCTTTCATCGTGCAAGCTTGAAGCAGATTTGAGAACAGCTGGAGGGCCTTGGCACTTGAGCTCCAGAAGGCGAGCCTCGTCAGAACAACGATTCTGTGCAGCTGCCTCTTCGAAACATGCCGAGATGGAGTCAGGAGGCGCTTTTGAGATGCCGTAATGTCCGCGCGGAAGGTTTTTCACCTGACAGCAGCTCCAAGCGACAGTCTTTGGTGGATTTGACCAAAAGGAAACAGGTGAGCATTTTAGCTGCCGGAGGCAATCATGCAAGACGGTGATTTGGTATACTCTTCGTGTGTTGAGGAGTTGGGGGTCGACTGTGTTTGGAAAGAGCGTTATTCTTCAGACTTCAGGTTTGCCGAAACCTGGAAGGGTGAGAGACATGTCCAAACCTTCTCGAACTCTGAACAACCCCTAGCAGGACGTAGCACAAGCGTCGGCACTCATCAATGGCAATGCATGTATGGCTCAATGCGCGGGTAGCAGGACGCAGAATGCATGCAGCCATTCCCTGACCAATGGGTGTGTGCGAGCATCATTGGAAAAGTAAATGCACGTCCTGTTGTTGAACACGCAACTTCGACATCTCCGTCTGGGCATTTTACTTTGCGTGGTGTTCGGGCTGGCGTTGGAATGCAGCCCCTCCTCCGAGTGCCTTGTTTGCAGAGGCTAGGTCGCATGTCTGCCACCTGTCGTGCAGTGAGGTTTTGCAGATGCCAAGAATCCTGCTCAAGCACGGGCTTACTTCCGCGGGGAGCCCTGCCAGACTGCAGCGATCCGCTCGAAGGAGATGCTGCACTCAAGATTCTGAGAAATGCGACTCGGAGTGACAAGCTGGCCAACATGGAAGACAGTTCCGTTCAGGCCCGGAAGCCTTTCTGGTAAACGAAATGGAAATGTGAGCAATGACTGCTTGAAGGCGGCCTGTGGACAGCTGAATTGCCTGCTTGGGTGCCTGCAGCATTGCCTTTTGCGGTTGGATGCCCTGGCTGGCTGGTGCAGAGATGCAGACTTCGTACGGGAGACTTGCGGCAAAGGCCTCAATTTGAGTGATGCTCGATTCGATGCCGTTGCAGAGGCCACCAGCCATGCGCTGTTAGGGTGTTTCAGCCGTCATCCGAGGCATGGATTGTCAAGCGCTCGAGCCGCTCACCGAGCCCAGCCGGGAGCGACGCGAGCTGGCTCTCTGCCTGGTCGGCCAGCTCCGGGGAGTTTGCAAGGCCACTTGTGCTATGCGGCAAGACTCGTGAGAGCAAAAACACGTTTCATTTTGCGTCTGGTTTCGGGCCAGGCCGAAGACTTCTTCTCTCTCTTCCATGTGATGCTTGCGGACTTCGAGAGCGTCGACGCATTTCTAGTATTTCCCGATTCTTCCTGTGCGGACCTCGGTGTGACATCATACGGACAGATGCATGAAGAGCGCCACATGCTCCGTTGCAGTGCAGCTTCTGGACTGTAGGTTTGGAAGACCGGGCTATTTTTCAAGCTGCTGCAGACAAGTGGCACAGCAACTTGAGAATTTTTACTCGGTGTCAGCCGGATAGCTTGGACGATCCTGTTTCTCGGCTTCCAGAAGATGTGAACCTCGCGCCCTCAGAGCCTCCCTGTAGAATGACCCAAGGGTCATACGTCCAAGATCGATTCGGAGCGTTGTGCGAGCCGATGCGTCAGCATGCTATGTCATGAGGCGGAGAGTCAGCTGATGGAATGGTTCGCAGGTAACCACTGGTGGGCGTGAGACCCGGTTGTTCACTGCCATGCTTCTGGACCAGGATGGATCGAGTGTTCTAGGAGGGTTCTAGTCACAGATGACAGACAAGGGAGGGGCTGGAAGTGTGCCACTGATTGATGCAAGGTGCATCATTGGTACAACGTGTCCCGATGGCGAAACAACATCTTATCCTTGAAGCATGTGCACTACTGCGGACAAGAGGTTGCAAAGCGCTTTGAACAAACTTCGTACCGCTTCGTAGCGCGAGTCCGCCCGGATGCGGAATGGTTCAGTTTTGTGACCAGACTGGAATTGGAGTCTCTTGTGCCCGGCCACATCCTCACGAACTTCGTGGCCATGCCGATACAGGGCATCACTGAAGATTCTTTTGCAATAGGCGCGCCCAAAGACATGGCGGCCTACTTTAGCTTGTATGCTGACACGCTACTCGACGTCGACCGCTTGGAGACCACGGAGGTGCCGTGGTGCAATGCTCACGCGACTTTGCGCTCTACTGGGCACTGTCGGAGCCATGGCCCTTCAAAGATGTAGCAACAAGCTGAGATGAGCGACGGAGCCAGGGAGTTGTTTTTGTCTCATGACCTTAGTACTGGTCACGGCCATTGTGCCGCGACATCCAGCGTTGCACCCCGGCCCCCTGTGCTGCATGTGCCCTTGTTTCAGATGCCATGACGCACGCAGGGAGAATGGAATATCCCACATTCAGGAGCCGGTCACCCTCAAAGGACATGCTAAAACTAAAAATTGTCAGCCCGTAAATTCTTGTCCCTTGTGGAATTGGTGTGATATTCTTGGCTTGTTGTCGCGCAGCATTGCCGACAATCCCACTGTGAGCCTCGTGAACATCTTTCTGAGTGCCCACTTGAACAGAGCCGGGAACAGTGCATTGCTGCACTCACCTGGATGGGCTTGCTGAGGACCGTGTGGCCCGAAAACCTTTTGGAGGAACACCTCAGACGGCAGAAGGGTGTCCAAGTCCAGAAGCGGAAATCCATATGCTTCAACCGGGTTGCGCCATGCATGCAAGGCCGTCATCACTACTGTTGCTAAGCTTGTGTTAGCATATCTTTTTGGGTCCGCCTCTTCCACGACTCGGCGAGTTGTGTGGACTCCAGGTTCAGAATTTCGGAAACATGCCCGTGGATATTTGGAGAGCAAGCTGGAAGCTGCTTAGCTGACCAAAGTTTCATGGAGTTCGGGTAGGAGCCACAGTCTTCCTCGGTCTTCCGGCTTGGCCGTGCCGTTGCGTCTTTTGGGCCAGGGTCTGACGCCTTCTTGGCGACTCCCTTCTTTTGGGTGCATCTGCTCATGATCCATTGCCATAGTCGCCATCTGCGCACGAGAGAGGGGTGGGAATGATTTGTATCCCCCCCCCAAACGGAGATGATGATTTCGAGAGTTCCGTTGGAAAAGGTGACGCCAGTTGTGAGGCCCCAGCCAAGAGTACCCTAGAACGTTGGTCTTAGCCGCCTCATCCCTCGGGGTCATTCCCAGGCCTTCCAGTCGCTTGATCGCGACTTTTTCCTCACTGCTTCTGGGTGCCGGCCCCAGGGGGCTCAGATTTTTTGGGTCTGGGCTTACAGAGCACAAACCCATTTAGATTTCGAGTTGGGTTTGAGCGTGGGCTCGGATGGAGAATTGAAGACACCCAAGTCCGGATGCAAAAGGGTTGAAGACACCATGAAGTCAAGACAGAAGCTTAGCTTGGCATGGGGCTGCTCTGGAAGAAACCCGGCGATAAGACCTCCGCCCTGACAGGTCATATGCAGATTACGATACGGTATTTGCTGCTCGCTTGGTGCATTTTCTGCTAGAAGAGGCGATTCGCCTTGGACATCCACCACGTGTGCTCGACATGGGGTGTGGCCGTGGATCGTACGTTGAGGTTCTCCGTTCCTGGGGAATTCCAGTGATGGGAGTGGATGGAAACGCCATCGTTTTGCGCACCATCCAGGAAAACGGATTCCTTTGGGATCTCACGGAGCCTCTTGACCTGAGGAAGGCTTTTGGACCGCAGGTCTCTTCTAGACAGGCTTGCGAATTCGAGCTGGACGAGGGGGATAGGCGTCAAGTTCGAGAGCTTCAGCAACAGCTCTCGGAGTTGTCGGGTTCAGATCTTCGGCTTGGTATCCTGAGCATCATCCCATATCTACTGCAGACGGACTACTGGCCATCGCAGCATCCAGAAGGGCATCCCGAGGTGCCGATCGAAGATTCGACGGTCTGGGCCACAGATCCGACCGTCTGCTTGTCTGCCGCATCATGGTGCTGTTGTCGCAGGCTGTGGAGTATCTGAAAGCTCTGTGCTGTGCAGACCAGCGATGCTTTGGCTTCTCTTTCACGGATGATGGAGGCCACAGTCAGCAACCGTGGAACCAGCCCATACCAACCCTTTTGCCACAGTGCCGTGAAGGAGTGCTTCTCTTGTGGCGGGAAGTGGAATCCGGAGAGCCTCGGCCATGCAGTGCTCTAGAGTTCGAGAGTTGCTGCAAAATATCGATCAGGAATACGGGAAGGAAGACATGATCCAGGAGGGACTGCCTCTTTGGTACCAGGCAGCTTGAGATCCAGAGATGAAAGCGACGGGGTTTTGGAGTCTTGCTTAATGTTGCTGCAGGTGACAAATTCCTACTTCATTGGCTCCTGGGACGACAGGCGGATGCTTGAGATCGCTGGGCCCGGGACCTATGCGGAATTCCAGTTGCAGCGGCTCGGCCTTTTTTTCGCCCTTGTGCAACGGCTGCCACCGTGTTTGGACTGTTTGGAAGAGTGAGCAGGTACTCATTGATGCAGGTGCAGTTTAGCACAGCTGACTGGGTGATATCCTTGGGACTTGGGGTAGAGGTCCCGAGGATGAGGGAGAAACTCGGCAGCACTTGTGAAGCTGTGGCAGATGTCATGGCACGTCTGTGGATTGAGGAATGTGGTCCTCGAAAACATAGTCAAGCATGCAGAAGAAGGTGTCCGGGACTCAGGCCCTGTACAGCAACTCAGCAACCCGCCTTCAGTGCAAGGAAGGTCTAGCGGCGGGTTGAAAGTCTGGGAAGCACATGTCCCATCCTCATAGGCCGGGGCCGGATCGTGCCGATACCACACCTGCCCTGCAGGTCATAGTCAGTTGGGGCACGAAGGGGCGCAATCTGCGCAGCCGCAACGAGGCCAGGGTTAAGCCTGGAAGCCGAACCACGCACTCCCTTTTCTGGTGGATGATGGTGGATGTGGCTTTCCCGGTTTGGGTGGGTTTGGTCTGCAATGCTGTCGGCTATATTGCACAGTCCCGAGCCACATGCCAGGTGCTGCAGCTGTTCCGATCTCGTGGGTTCGTTCCGGATGATCGTCTGACACCCGTCTGCAGCTTCACCTCTCAACCATTCGCAGCATGTTGGGGCTGTCCAGGAAAGACACGTTGCAGCTTTTTTCTGGTCTTGCGCATGCACCAGAACGAGAAGATCTCCACGTTTTCCGCCGGGCGTGCCATGGCCGAAGTATTCTGTGAGGATTTTCGGGTCGGGTGAGTTTGTCAGTCCTTAGTTTCCCGGCCGCGGTGCGGCGTTTCGGGCAAATCTCCTCCGCAGATTAACGCTCCTTGTGTTCGTGGATTTGCATGAAAAACTGTAGCATGACGAGCTTTGTTGAAGCGACACGTGCTGGAGTGGCCTCGGATCATTTCGAGCTGCAGGGCGTGGTCGGACGTGTCAATTCTTCAGGAGAACATGCTCCAAATAGGATCCTTTGGGTATCCGAGGCGGTCCCAGATGCTGTATTAAGCTGTATTATTCGATGGTTGTGAACACACTTTTAACTATTCAAGCCTTGCTAGCTTGGCAACTCCCGCTTTGATAACATGCTTTCCATCCTGAGGCGGGCAAAGTCATCGTACCCAGATGCGCCGCTTGAGTTGATCGACGAGTGCCTTGATCGCAACCAGGCGGCCAGGGCGACTTTGCGTGCTTGGCTTGCCCGAGCGGAGGTGGGGTGGTTTAGAATGTCAAGAAGCAGGTGCGCAGCTTCGAAACGGGATGCAGGGACATGAAAAGTCACAGTACGGTCCTCTTGGACAAGGTCGCGGCTGGGCTCAATGTCAGTATGACCAAGTAAGCAATACGAAAAATGAGGAGAGGTTCTGAGAAACATCTCTTGCCTTCATTGGCGTGCCAAGGCATGTGGGTAAGTGGCCACTGTGCTGGACTCTTTCGCGCAGGCTGCAATGCGGCTCCAAAAGTACCAGCCTTCAGCCCTTTGCCCTCCAAGCTGCGAGCACTTGAGTTGCCTCGGGCCGCATCCGGGGTGGACAGGAGGCGGTCAAGCGACAGTGTGTGCTGGCGGCCTCTTGGGCAAGCACATGTGTCAGCAGACTTCGACGTGAGTCCACGGTGCACAGAGTGTCCGAGGGGGCAGCAAGAAGTGGCGCGAGTGTATCCTGTCACATGAAGTTCAGGGCCAGGGTGGCGCGCCAGGCCGGAGAAACTTTCCCTCGTCACGTCCCTTCGGACTCGGCAGCACGGCAGGTCCCTCGGTTGAGATGGACAGCATCGAAGCCTCAGCTCTCTACGACATGGCGGATCACATGGATGCTTCGCCGAATTTCTGTCGTGCATTTAGGAAGCAATCTTCCGTGGCTGCCACGAGGTTCCAAAACCTGGCGTGTGGCTTGGTGATGCTCGTTGCCCCGCTGCAGTGGACGAACACAGTCTTCTATGGGGTGCGCTTCTAGGGCCCGGGCTGTCGCTGCCAAGGGCTCAACCTGGTCTTCTTCAAGCCGCTTAGCTTTGGAGAAATGGTCAGGTTTCTCCTAGCCAAAACCCCCTTCGCCAAGGATTGCAAGGGCCCTTGCAGCTCCCGGTCGGGTGAAAACACTGCAGACCGCCTGGACCGCCTCCATCTGGAGACTCTGCAAAGGATGGGCGGCGGCTTGCACCTGACAGGAGATGGTTTTGGACATCCAAATGGGAAGTCCTGCTTGCCCACCCCCCGGAAGAGCACAGGCACGTTGGGCGCTTTGTCGCAGTTGGAAGGTTTTGAACACAACCACGCTTTTGGGACAGGGTGTTCCATCCGTGGTCGCAGCCGGTACAGCCTTGCCCCCAGAAGTGTGATACTGTGCTCGCTTTTCGACACTTGTCCTTGCAAGCAGATGGAGAAGCTGCGAAAGAAAATGGGAAGTTCAGTATAGCTCCGATTGTCGCTCTTGTGGCAAGGCCAGGTGTACTGGGCTGGCAGCTAGGCCAGGCGATCTGCTTCTCTGCTTGGCTGCTGGCGCGATCGATCTTCACATGGAAGTAGGGTTCTACAACCTTGACATCAGCTGTAGCTGTGCTCTTGAAGGCCGCGTGGCTTTGGCCCTGCATCAACTGTCGTGCCGCGTGCGGCGGCTTTCTCAGGCTTGGGTTTCTTGGCAGCGGAGCATTCGAGCCTAACTTATCCAGGGCCTGAGCTCCCACCCCGATGATATCCCCGCCATTCCCCATCTCCGCCCGCTTTGGCATGGTGCCTGTGGTCTTGCTCGGGTTCTCGGTCTCTCGGCTTCTTTGTCTCCCCTACCTCTTTTGTGGGGTGGCGTCTGTGGTGTTCGCGGTCGGTTGGGGTAGGCCGCCCGGAATGCAAAAGGCCTGTGCGTTGTGTTTGCTCCAGCATGAGTCAAAAGTCGTTGACTCGTAGCAGCCCGGATCCTGGGATCATGTATTGCAGACGGGGGCGGCGGATTGGAGTCGTTGCGGGGTCCGGAGGTCAAGGCAGGCCACTTCGTCTACTTCCCATTAAAGCCACTCGCAGGCCAGGCCCTCCGGCCGGTCGTGGCATCGTGCTCTGATCCTCCAAAACAGCCTGGAGGCTGCAAAGGCTGTGGGAGCGGAAGGCTTTCCAGCCTTTCTTTAATGCGGCAGGCGTCGTTTATGAAGACCGGTCCTCGGGACATCAATGCCGCCATTCAGCCTATCCGTAAGCTGCAAGCCGAGGCACACAAGAGCTCGTTTAGGACAGTTAGGGAAGTTGCATCCCCAGTCTGACGCAGATCGTGGCAGTTCTGGATGGTGTCACCGTGGAAGAGGCAGTATGTGGCCTGCATGGTGCCAAGAATGAGGCCATATCCGGCTGTTCCTGACCAGGCACTCTCCGACATGGTCTTTGGAGCACGGGGCTCGGAGAGCCTTGTAGCTCGCAAGCTTGAAGCCGATCAGGCGAAGTTCAACTTCAAGTTGCGACACCGATAAGCAACCAGTGCTTCTCATGGCCACATCATGGACAAAACTGTCAGGATGAGATCTTGCCGAGGTTGCCGTTCCCCCAGCATTGCAGAACAGCCACATGCTCGGGCCACGGAAGAGCCACGTCGAAGGTGGCAGCTGTTCGCTGGCGATGAAGTACCGGAAGGTTCCGGTGGCCTTGGGCTGATTCCCAGAGAGGCAGAATGAATCCACATGAAGATTGTGACAGCACAGGCCAATACACACAACATGGCAGGCTGGCTGTGCAGATCCAGTGTTTGAGGAGGTGGTGAGAGTCGCTGCGCTTTGGGACAAGGAAATGTTTCCTTTGCTTCAGAAATTGCCCCGAATCACGACCCCATGTGTCACCTTTCCAAGATTTTCCAAGCAATCTTCAGTTCAGACGAATCGCACACCATCGCCACCAGGACTCCAATGTGGGCTGGTATCTTTATCGTCTGGCAGCTATCGACCCGACCATGTGACACGAGGCACTGACGGTCAGGCCTATCTCCTGCATTCTGGCTGTGAACTCATCCTTTGCTTCGGGGAGAAGCAGCCTTTGGGCCGAGATCTTTGAGCGCGCTGGAATACATACACGTTGCTGCTTTCCCCCAATCATGGCCAGGTCCAGGCCCCAATTCAGGGAAGAAGATTTTCCGAGTAGTATCTCTTATCCGGGCTTTGGTTTGATGTTCGATGGCTCATCGGTGTTCAGACCGAGGGTCCGGGTCCCATTAGGCTGTCAAGCCGTAATCCCCAGATTTTTCTGCTCACATAACAAGAAGTGACGACAGAAGCTCGGAAAATTCAAACTGCAAGAAGCCCTCTTGCTGCAAGACATTTTGTATACTCTGTGGATACAGGTTGGACTCAACTGCTTTGTGTGCAGGTCAGGAAGTCTTGCTTTTCAACGGGGGCGAATTCCGGAGCGTCACCAACCAGCGCATCAGGGGGTCCGACAGATCAGTCAGAACATCAGTCGTGGCAGACAGCGCTTGATCGTCAACAAGTTGTGTGGGAGATGTTCGACTGTGCAGGCAGACTAGAGTGTTCACCTCAGCATGGTCGGTGCGCCGTTGGCTATCCACGATTGAGCAGACGGATTGCCAGTCGGTTGGTCCCAGATTTGGAATTTCTTGCCTGGTTTCAAAGACCGGCCAGGCACCTACAAGGTTTGCCTCCCACTCTTGTCATGCAGCTACACAGAACTACCAGACGTTTGTTCTGGCGTTTGTGTAGAGTGTAGAGTGCGGCCAGAACGAGTTCTCGGATGGGCTCCGATGCGTGAAGTATGCTGACTATCAGTGCTGGAGCCTAGAAGATGCATCGTTTCTCAGATTGCCCAGGGCGGGAAGACTGGCTGGGTTGAATGTAGGGCGATACGGAACTATACTGGGCCATCATCATAGATGCCTTCGTGGCCACCCCGATATATACTCACGTACCTGTTATAAATCATTAAAATCTAGATATGACTAAAATCTAGATATCGACGAAATTACTATGATTAGAATAAATCCATATCTACATATTATGCTTATAACAAGTAATTAGAAATATAAAAATACATTCTAATGTTCAATACTATATAATGGGTAGTTTCTGCTTATACAATTCATGATGAACAAAGAAATTTACTCTGTGAAACGTTGCGTGCTTCCTCCGGTTTCGGATTTGCGCTCGGTAGCTGCCGATCCGAAATCACAAAAATCTCGGGATTTTTGGGATCGCTGGTATGCTTGCTCTTGTTTGCCTTTATATTATAGGCGAGCCCTTAGTACGAAATCTAGAAATTCCTGGGAGTTTTAGGGTTTTTTGGGCGTTATATAATCTCGTATTGTATTATAATATTGTAGTCTTCATTTTATTACGTTATTTCGGCAAATATTGGATTTTTTTATATTTAGGATTGTATTTTTATAGAGAATATATATTGAATCTCTTTTATTCTAATATAATGAATTATTTTGAGATTTTATCGTATTTGTCGTATTATTATATGGACCGAATTTTTCGGTTGGATTTGATATAATTCTTCGATCGTATTTTATTTTGATTTTTTTCTACTTTATTCCAACTTATTTAATATTACATGAAATAAATTCTTGAATTTATGAAGTAAATATTGGGAAGCAACGATAGGTCTTCATTATTCTATTCTAATAAAGAAATATTTTTTTATTAATCTATATCTAGATAAATAGATTTATGGAGAAATATATATATCTGGAAAATATTTCTTCGAATAATATAAAAATATTTCTTTTGATTCGTTGAATATTTAAGGTCGTATTTAAATTAAGATTTCTATATCGAGAAAGATAACGATGATTTTGAATATTTTTCTTTAAATTCATTTATTCTAGAATAATTTGTTTATTATATGTCGTGGGCTTTCGATAGATTCTTTTTAATATTTATTGAAAAATTGAATGTAAAATTAAATAGAAATGCAAAACTTATATTAATTTTTCATTATTCTATATTTTGCGTTTTAGGTTTTATATCTATTAATATATCGTAATCCTGTAAAATTCTCGGAAAATACATCTTTATTTCTTTTCGAGAAAATAAGATTTGATATATTTTTTCTATGATATTTTATATTATTAGATTATGATATTCTTTATATTTTTTTGTTTTCTATATATTATATATATATATCTCCATTTATGAGCAAATTTTATGATTTCTTCGAATTCGTGCATTCTATGATATTTTCTTGATATTCTCATTCCCTCAATATTCTGAATCTTCATTATAATATCTCTTTATTTTCATTTAATTCATGAGAAAATAATTTGTACAATATTTTCTTCGATATATCTTTGCCCACAATCCGCGACGATTTCCATTAAATCGCGATTTTCCCTTCAAATTCATATAATGTTCTTACGATCTTCGCCCATTTCCGACCGTCTTTATTCGACCATCCCTTTCGTAATTTTCACATTTTCTACAATATTCTTCGTAATATAAATATCTTCGATCGTCTCTCCACGACACATCTCTCGAATCGTCTTCGGCCAATATTCCCCATCCCATTCTTCCACGATATTCCCTGCTCCACTAATTTAGGAAATTTTCCTCGACTCCCCCCTTACCCGCACTCCACGACATTCCGCGATACTCATTCACGCCCGCCTTTTCACGACATTCCTTCATCTACCACCCGACCCTTATCAAGATTCTAATGATCTATCCGATATGCCCTAACCTTCCATTCTTTTCGATATCTCGGACGATAGATCCCATCATTTATATTTCTATATTCCATATTATAATTACGATATCTAATCGAATATAATATCAATTTTATATATATGATATAATTTCAAAATATTTTTCCAGATTAAAATATATATTATTCCCGGCTAATCTAACAAATATTAATATATAAATGATATAATGAAATAAAAAAATTAAAAAAAAAATTAATATTACTATTCAATTGCCGAGATTATGGGCCGATCCGAAAACACTCCATAATAGAAGCGTAAACTTATCAAATATAAATATCGATATTTTCGTTGTTTCGTATCAATAGTTCAATGAATGTTTTTCATGAATAAATGATAAAAAAGGGTTTGGGGTCCGGCGCGGTCCGGTTTAGGGTTAATCTTAAATCCAAATCTTACCTCTAACCACGCCGGACCCCAAAACCAAAAAAGGTTTATATATATTTTTTATATTAATTTATTTTATCACAAGATATATTTAGATTTTTTTTTAACTCTTTAGAATTTAAGATATATTTTTAATATTTAGTAATTAATAATATATTCAGAATACATATTTATTACTAAATCTATATTATATACATAATTAATAATTTATCTAAAATTATTTCATATTTAATTCATAATCATATATAAATTATTATTTCCAACTATATATTCAAGACTTTCATGTAATTACAACATGTAAAAGTATTTTAAATTATAAAATTATTATTTATCATCTAAATATTTTTGTCAATTTTCTTTGCTTTATATATTTTCATATTATAATAATCAAAATTCAATTCTATATTTCCGAATTCTTTATACAATACCAATCATAAATCATTCATAGTATTTACTAGATTATCAATATTTATTCTAAAAAAATATATTTTTCCAGAATAAATGTTATTTGTTTTTTGACAATTCAATATCCACCAAATTCTTCTTATATTTAATATCTATATCGAATAGAATTCCGATTTGAAATAATTCGACAAGAATGTATTCGTAAATTATCTTTTTTCTAATGTGTCTTTATAAACACAGAAAGCAGCTTGACTAAGTTGTAAAAAAATCGAATCATAATCAATAATTATCATCATTTCAAACTTCATCTTGGTCAGCGATTATTATGCTCGAAGAAATGATAAGATCAAATAGGAGGTAGGTAGTATCAGATTACATATAATGCATTGATTCTATACTAGAAGACTGCTAGCTTCTAGTAATTTCCATCTCCCAGCCCGCGAGATGAAATCTTACGCTCTCCTCAATGCCGTCTCTGTTGTAACTTTAATTAACTTATGCTTGGCTACCAAAACCGGGGTCCTGGGCAAATGAGCTCAGAGCCTCTCCCCACTTCGCTCCTCCCGCTTTTCGTTCCGTTTCCAAACATTGCTCGTAATCGATCACCTTCGTCGAGAGCTTCCGAGTGGAACCGCCAACAGCTCAGCATCGATGCTTCCTGGACATACACTTCAATCAGCGAATTCGCTCTGCCTTCGCCTCGGGTACCACGGTACTAGTTTCCGTTCGGTTTCTCTGTTCTTGTGCTGGGAGCCGTGGAACCTCGTCGGCGCAGCACTTCCACGAGCCCGGCATCGCGCTCTTTGCTGTGAACAGCCACCGGTTCCGCCTCTGCGGCCACAGGTTCCATGACTCCTCGGCTTGCTGGGGCCGTTCGGAGCGTCATGCCAGCAGCTCGTGCTTCGGACTGGGGCGAAGGAAGCAGAATACTAAATTCAGAGTTTTCGTGTTAGAGATCTATGAGAGGTGGAGCATGACGGCTCGATGCAGAACCTCAACAACCAGAGCAGTATCGCCGCAGCCACGGTGCTGTCATGACTATGTCCACGAGCTTGCCGATGCTGGTATTTACCCTTCAGGTGCTGCAACTCCTGTGCTTGTCCCAGCGAAACTCTATCGGGCTTCCAGCCACAAAATTCTAGCAAATGCCCTTCACGTCCCGGGTCCTCCGCGTTACGCTCAGCGCGGCTGTGCTGCCGCCTCAACATCGTGGTCCAATTCTGCAGCATCTCTCACTGTGCACAACTTGGGAAGGAAGTCAGGCCGAGGCTGTGCTGGAAGCGCTCTTGGTGTCGATTTGTATTTGGGATTCTACGGGATGTGAGTGGCCTCCAGCACTCAACCTTTAGCACATGTTGGAAGCTCAACGGGTCGCGCCTCAGCTCATCCTGTAGTTGTTGCGACTCCAGAAGCAGATCGGATCGCACCTTGTAGCTTTGGAATCGCTGAGCATGTAGCGGGAATAACCAGCCTACGTACAGCCATGCCAATCAAGCTTTGCAAACGAAGTATGCTTGCGTATCTTTTTCAGGCCAGAAGCCTTAATTCTAGTAGCTTCCTGCAGACCTCTAAAAGCCTTCTCAAGGTTTTGCAACGGCTTTTCGAGGCTTTCTGAAGTGCTTCTGACAATCTTCCTGAGAATACCGGAGTGCTTGGCTTTCAGGGAGCCTTTCATGGTTCTTCATTGCATGAGGGCATCTGAAAAGCGAAGGCTCCCAAAGGGCTTCTCAATGCTTCGTGAAGACTGTGTACGGGCTTCTCAGAAGCTGCTTACAAATTAACTACTTGAACTTCTGAGGTGAGCATGGGCTCTCGACAGCGAAGAAATCTCGGACTAGTCTTCGCAAAAAAGTACATTGTATACTGGTCTTCATTCATATCAAGACCCCCTGGAATTGGGGAATTGGGGGGAGCAGTCCTAAAAATGAGGTGGGCTGTAGTGGCCCGTGCTCTGAAGCAAACGTGGAATCACCTGCTGACCGAACGGAGCTAAGGACGGAAACGACAAGCAACAGCTGTTCAAAAGGTGCTAATTTTGAGGAAGTATGGTCTTTGCATGCTTGCTCTCCACCGCACGGACGGACTTGCTCTATAACTAGATATCCACTTCCAGAAAGAGTTACGTCAAAGCTGATGCCCAACACGTGATTTCCACGAATCCATCGCGGAAGTGTCCCGCCTGCATATGTGGCTATCCCCTAGTCCTTTTTGGCCTTGGAGAGTTACTTTCTACATGCCCACTCGCACCGTACAGAGCTCTTGTGCAAACAAAGCGGAACCTGCGGCTTTCCGAGGCACCTCAGCACTCCGCTGCCAGGCACGGTCGAACCATGCAGCCCAGCGGGCACAGAGTCGCCTTGGTGCAGGCGACCGACTGAAACAACCACGAAGCTCCCGACTGTGCTTAGCGTCTAAGTTCTCCTCTCTCTTCTGCCCTGGCTAAGTTCTGCTCACTCCTTCCCCCGACCGGTGTTATGCTCCTACCAGTAGTCAGTAGTCTATGCGGTGTACTGAATCCGTTCACGAAGTGTCTAGTGCTCTGCACTACACGAAATGTGTCTTTGCATCCCGTTGCTCCTTACAGCTCCGGGTACGAGCTTGCGACTTCAGGAGCCGAGCCGGTAAGCTCGGGAGCCCTGTGTCAAATGGACGTAATCTCAGGCCGGATTGCACTTTGTTAGCAAGGTCACGCCGGTATGCTTTCGTGACAGCTGGGAATGTTGAAAGTCATCCTCTGAACTGCTCCGGACCTTAAAAGGCTTCGGAAGCCACTGTCTGGCTTGCCCATGCTCTCAAAACTCTGAGGCACACTCGGCGAACTTGCCGGCATCAAGGCCTCACCCTATCACGTTATCAGACAAGACACCAGCTGTGAAACAAAAGAGCCTCGTTGGCACGCGCTGTGAACACGGCTGGGCAGCTGCGTCCTCTCTTGAGCACGACGGGTTTTCGGAGCAACACAGGTCAGCCCCTCGTCAAGCTGAGGCCAAAGTGCGACAGCATGACGGACGTGCCGGGACCTCACACCTTGAACTTCGAAGATATTGACTCCCACAAACGAGCGCAGTGGTAGCATAACCCTCGCTCGCTTAGTCACGAGACCGGGTCCTACGAGCCGATCATGCCCTGGGCAAACTGTAGCACTGCCAAATCGCTGGAGGCCTTGACCCAGCGCAGTCAGGGAGAAGCCCAAGCATCGAAACCGAAGGCTGATCTTCCCTTCCAACACGACTACGAAACCGCAAGGTCACACAAGACACTGCGGGGCCACTCTTATGGACAACACTCTGGTGATGGACCTTACACAACTTTGGCTGCGGAGAGTCACGAAATTAACCGGGGCCTTCCACGAGCCGGTGAGGATTGAGAGTTTACCGTTTTTAACTAATCGAAGTAGAAGTTGCTAGAGCCTTACGGTGCCCACTCAGGCCTACTCTTCCGTGTTGGCATGCATGTGCGATGTTGAGAACCAGCGCTTTTCGGATTCACTGATATGCAGACATGGACTCCTCACCCCGGAACAACAAATCACAATCACCTTCGATCACCTGGCCCTCAACATGAAGGAGTGCTTTCAACTCACATATTCGGCAGGGGGCTGACATCCAGCGCCCTGGAACAAAGGCGTGCCCGAGCCGTACGTTCCGCTGCTGACCGCCAAGCACTCAATGTTCTCCTCGGGTAGCATCACGCAAAACCACGATTCCGACGACGAGTGGGTGGAGAATATCACAGTCTGTGGGTGTTCTCAGTGTTCTCCACACTCTTGCCTCTGCCTCCCAAAAAACAGCCTTTCCCATCCTCTGGCAGTGTCGTCTGGCCAGTTCCTGGGCGCGGCTGCCGAATCTGGCTGCCTGCACCATGCACAGTAACTCAAGTTCACCGGGCAACTGGTGCTTCGGCAACTTTCTGACACCCATGTATCGAATCTTGAATTGGACTCGCTGCTCTGCAAGCGGGGCCTGGCTTCGCATTCCAACATGGCGGGTGCACTGCGCAAGCGCATGGCCAAGGCGAGCGGCAACCACAGCACGCATGCTTTGGGTCACAAGCCTGCGAAGAAACCAGGATCAGTGCACGGCCAGGCTTTGGGAATTGTTCCCAACACTTGGCATCCCGTTTAGGACCGAAGGTTAGGGTTACAACCGTTTGTGTGGAGTCTTCTCTTGTCCAGTAAGTTTCTTAAACTCCGGCCTTCGTGCCATACTCCAAAGCGACAAGACGCGACCCAACGAAAGAACAATTTCTGCTGCCTGCTGTTTGAGACGGGGGCTTCTCTTTCTTTCGGCAGGGCTAGGGGCAGAGGGGTTGCCCCCCCTGCCCGCGCGCCCAATCCCTCCGCACCAGTCGGGGGCGCCAACGGCGCTCGGGGGCTTCTCTCTCTCCCTCTCTCGGCTTGGATATTTAGCCATGCTTGCCGTTCCTGATGCACAGGCATGTCAGCTTTAGGTGCTGCTGAGGACGTTTAGGAGGACAGCACATGTTTCTCATGCCGGTCGGTCGATTCAGAAGTATCCCGGTCGAGACTTTCAAAAGTGAAGCTGGCCTGTCAAAGCAATGTCCTTGCACCTGCCAAATGGAAGATGGCGTGTCTTGATTTGATTGCTGCAAGAGTTGCTGGTTGGCAATCATCCAGGGCCGGAGAGTACGATTCAGCTGACGGAGCGAGGCGTGGTCTTTGCTTTGACACAGGCTGCTCTTCCAGTGGTGGCCGCTGACGTGGAAGCGGCTCAGCGGTGCGCCTGCTGGCAGTGGACCCAGCCCAAGAAGAGCAGAGACCATGTCATAGGTTTGTCTTTCCATCAGTTGGTCTTGATGGATGACGACCAGCCGCTCACCAAACAGGCGACGCCAATCCCTCAGATGGGGTATTGAATCCACGTCGGCCCACCGGATCAGGTCATCCACTGTCACGGTTTCTGCAGTCCTGGAGTGGTGGAGCATCACTGTGGATGCAAGGCGGCGAGCCGGTGAACACACAATCAGCACGGGTCGAGCATTCATCTGGTGTACGGCCAGGCGAGCGATGGAATGCTTCCACAACACAGCATTGTGGAGTCCAAGCACTGAAGATAAACTTTGTCGTCGTGCATTGTTAAATTCCAGCCAATGCTTTTGAAGATGCTTTGGTGGAAGTAGATGCCATGCGATTGCCCAGGTGAAGAACGTGTCTTCGAGAAGCATTGGAACCTGTGATGTGGAGAATTCCACCTTTGGATGCAAACCCAAGTTCATGCGCGCGGAAGTTGTCCCACAGTGGTCGAGGCCAACAACTGCAAACTGAATGTTGAACTCTTCCCAACTCGTAAGTTCTACAAAACGCATTCGGTGTGGAGGTATCTCTGCTTGGAAACCCACGAAATTGGAGATGTAGTCCTCCACCAGTGGTGGCATCTGCCGCGTCTTGCAGATTCTCGGCGCACAAAAACCAATGCTCATCGGCCGCAAGTATGTGGCTTTCTCCCATTTCGCCCGAGAATTGGTGCCCGATGTGTTCGTCGGGAATTCGACAGACCAAAGCATCCCCCCTATCGCTCGACACTGTTCCAAGGCATGCACGGCTGCTAGGAAGATCTCTTCAATCTGGTAAAACGGGCGGCTATAGTATTCGCCCAGCTGCAGCTTCACCCGGGATCCGGTGCCACCGAAGCCCGAGTTTTCCAAGTAGCTCTTCACACATGCATTGTACGCTGCACAAGTGACTGTCCAAGCACATGTCAGCGAGATGTAAAAGTGGCGCATAAAACTGGGCTGCCTAGCCTTCATGCAGACCTTGATCCTGCCATCTCGCAACACGAAGCCATCGACAAAAGCATGGAAAGGATTGCTACCCTTCTGCCTGTTGAGAACACAGTCATGCCCTGTATGCCAGACTATGCAGTCCAGTGTATGCAAGGCTCGTGGTGCCATGTGTTTCTACTAGTGATGCCGCAGAAAGGATCCAAGGAGTGCATGTGAAGGCTGTGGAAAGGCACTTTCGATCGAGATCCAGATGCGCCTTGCAGCACTTCGCTTGACAAGGTGTCCTGCGCGCCCATAACGCGAAAGCCGGCTGTTGCACAACCGCCAGATCAGCAAGCCCCACTCTCGCTCCGTATGCAAACATGACGGAGTTGAGGCATACAGCGCACCTGGAAACGCAAAGAAATGATCGTAAGTTTGCATGAACTGACCTGCTCTCGGTCGCGCATGTTCATGAATAACCACAAGCTGTGAATTGCAGATGCATCCATCAGACCGGAGACCGTCCTTGCGCGAGGGAGTGGCGCCTGCACCCACAGATGAGTTTGACCAGGTCAAGCAGTGACTTCGGTGACCGCGGCGAGCAACAGTTTGAAGGTTCAAGGCTTGCTCAGGGTCACAATCCAAAACATCTGACTCTCCGGCCCGGCCTTTGCCTGGCCAGTTCTGCCCAAAGGCGCCAGCACAAGGTGGGCGACAGCAACGAAGCTGGCAATGTGCTGACAATGGGACGTATAGCATCTGAATTCCATACTGCACCGGGGGTATACCCAAGTGTGAAGCCAGGTGTGTCACTTCTGACATGTTGCAATCACTGTCCGCAGCGACAGCTGAGGCTTGCTAGGGACCTGGCCAGATGCCTGCGATTGCACCCACTGCACCTGAGCTTGTCAACCCCCAGTCCAGGGACATCCCTCTGCAAGTGCAGCTGCTGCGTGTCGCTATTACGACTACATGAGCTGATGGGACCACAGCTTGAAAGTGTACGCTCATGCAAACTCTGCTAGAGCATCCTCCAAGGCGGGGAGCCTCAATGCTTCCATCTGGGCATGCAGCATGCATCTCGCTTCAAGAAGCGCTACTTGTTGCAGCTTAGGGTGCTGCGTACCGACCCGCTTCAACCACTCCAGGGATTAGGTAATTAGGTTTTGAGCTGAGGATCTCTGCATGCACATCAATCAAATTGACGGGTAGTTGCAAGCACCTGCTTTGTAGCAAAGTTGAAACTAGGAATGTGAGGATTTCTGGAGCCGAGAGGCTCTAACGACCAGTCCCAATCTCTGCGCACGCAGCCGCCAGTGCCAAAAGCCAGATGACAGCAAAAACGCGCGCCGGTTCGCAGTCTCCAGCTCCTTACGGTCAGACCCGTGCAGTCGAATCCTCTGGGCGATGTACAGTCAAAAACACAGCAAGCCGATGAGACAGCACACAGCTTGCTTTCGTTCCCTCTTGCTCCCCCGAAACTGAAGAGGCATAAACTGACTGAAAGCCAAGGATCTTTTCTTTGGCTGAGATGCCTGGCCTCCTCGCATCGCTGCCGGGCCTGATGATTAAGGCTTATGTGGGGCTAGGTGGGTCTTACAGGAACCGAAAGGGTCATGAAGGTGCCAAGGTGGTATCGGGCTGGCCCGAACCAGCTTCGGCAGATCGCGAACCCGGCGTGCGTTTCCAGCAATCTGGGATTCGAGGAACGAGCTGGAATACTTGGACTTGCCGCGCCTGATTTGCTACACTCAGTATTGAAGACCTGCCTGCAGCGCTGAAGTGGCCCAGTGCTTCCAGAGGATCATCTGCAGCTGAATGCGTTCCGCATTCCGGGCGCTCTGGGAGATCCGGAGCAACTGGCATGCGGAAGGTGGCTTTTGCCAACACGACTTGCGTGGCTATCCCAACATACCGAGCGGTCGAGCACAAAGGCTTTAGCAAAAAGACCCAGCCCAAGATGGGAAGCGTTCCACCTAGGACTTCATCAACTTGGGTAAGGTCTACCCTAAACCCTGAAACCCTATGCCCTAGACCCTAAACCGGGCCTTTCAAGCATTCACTGAAATAGGAAGGTCAGAAATCGAAGATCGGTGCCTTGCATCTGGCGCGCATCTCAGAGACATGGAAACACCAGCCGGACCAGATCGCAGCAATGAGAAGTGTGCGGCGCTTGTGCGCGTAGAACTCCTCAGTCAGCAATGCAGGCAAAAGCCGCCAATCGCTGCTGCCTCGACCTGTGGAACGTAGAGTGGTGCGGACGGCGAAGATGTTGTCTATACATGTCTAAACCATTAGTGCTGCACCCCCTCGCCAGCCGCCAGCACGCAGCCTTTCCCTCGGAAGTTCGGAGCGTCTCGACTGCGAGGCGAGGCTCCGAGGCAGAGGCAGCCGCGGCCAAGCTCCTGAAGGAAGCACACTCACTCATCCTACAGCCCAGCTCTCTGCGGCTGAAGGCGACATTTAGACGTCCAGCTGAGATGCGCAACTGCCTCAATCCTCATCCTACAGTTGGGTTGCTGCGAGATCACGCAATGGACCCTTAATCGATGCAATCCTGTCGCAGGCACGGGCCCAGTTTGCCAAGACCTCTCTGTCCACCACGCGTGCCCAAGCGTGCACAAGGAAGCTTAGAAAGCCATTGCGCTGAAGTCTCAGCTGGCCTGCAGTGGCGGAAACGTGTTCTTCGAGGTCCCACAATCTCTCACACCCGTCGACACACTAGCTTAAGAAAGAGATGTTGAAAGTAAGAGTAACTGCTCAAAAACAAAACAGCTAAGAAAATGGGTCCGGGGTCTCTTGGAGCTTGCGTCTACGGAAAATTGATTTGCAACTGCGAATTATCTTTGAGGAGCCCCGTGAGAGACACCCGCATTTTCTTGATCTCAATTATCCCCAGAATGATCAGCACCCAAATGCTAGGACACTGTGGTTCGGACAAGATGGGATGGATACAAAGCCGGACCCTCCCCAATGTCCAAGCTGGGACACAGTGCGCCAAATCTCTGCGTCGCGCACGCTTTCGCGATTCTGCAACCAAGCGAGCCCATTGCAGCCTCATCATTGAAGCACACTTTGCACATCACGGCTGGCATATTGAAAGCGGATGGTGCATGTCTCGAACATCCAGAATCATCCGTGGTCGCAGGCAAGAGGTTACAGGTGCGCCACTGTTGTGGTGCTGGGATGGTGGAGACGAGTGGCAGAACAGCAAGAACTTGTTGAGCAGCCTGCAAGCTGCACAGCGTTTGCAAGTTCACTGCCAATGCCATGTCTATTAAGTAACTATGCTGCACAACCACGGAAATGCCTGGCTTGTCGCGGAGCGTTTCAGCATCGCAGCTTGCATTCTAAGTCCTCCGCGAGCTTCGCAGACAACCTTGCAGACAAGCTAACCGGTGTCCCCAAGGCCAAGATTTCGTTGCAGTTCACACCCAGTCCTGAAGCTTACGTTAAAGGTCGGTGGTTCGAACTGTAAAGTGTCTGAGCATCATCCAAGTCACGCGATGCCAAAGCCGCACCGCAAGCAAGCAGGCGAGGAAAGCCCTCAGAATGCGAGTCAAGCCACAAAAGACAGGAAAAAACCCACTGCAGCCTTCCGCCTGGAAACCTATCATTTCAAGCAGGCCGTTGCTGTTCCGGAACACATGTCTGAAGAGAAGATATCATCGCAGCACCAGACAAATCACAAGGACGCAAGCCGCTTGACCGTAACGTTTTGCTACCCGCTTTGGATTGCAAAGTTGTGAGCAGGCCGAAATGGTCACTCAAGAAAAGACGCCCTGAACTGGAAGATGTCTCTTCTGCCGTTGGCGTGACATCCAGTTCGAAGTCGATACTCTTTCGGCATCCTGGCTGTGGCCGCTTTGGAGTCGGGGGTCGCTGGAGCCAGTCCTCCTCCATGGGCGTGAGTTTAACCAAGTGGTTCAACGGCTCATCGCCCACAAGGCGGATCTGCGTGGCTGTCCAAGCTTCCAGCTTCACCATGACACGATCGTAGCGCATCTGCTCGTACTCCCCAATGTAGGGGTTCAGTCTAGAATCGAAGGTTTTGCCGGGCTCCCCTGGTCGTAGAGTCGGCCAGAGATCTATGAAGTCCTGGAGGAGGCCCAGTGCAGCATTTTCCAACGGCTCATGCGGAGCCTTGAAGTTTCGTTCTGAATCGAAGTTGAAGTCGCCAACCAACATCACGTTGGAGCAGGGCGCCAAGATGCTGGCACACTGGCGAAGCTGCTCCTCCCGCATGCGAGGATTCGCCAAGGACTCAAGGTGTACAGTCCCGACGGTGAGCCCTGGTACCTTTACCAGCAATAGCGAGCGAGACATGGCAGTGGGCAGTGGGTGCAACTCGAACTCAGCGCTTATTCCCGGCTGGACAAAAGCCATGACCTCGCAAGGGATTGTCCTCGAACAACGCTTTCTGTTGACCCCTAAACTAGGAAGCAGTACCAGCAACACCTTCTAAATGAAAGCTCGCTGAGGCACCCCGTACGGCTGTACCGTCGCGTTGTCGGGGGTGGAGTCAGAGCACTGCCATCCAGGCAAGGCCTCCCGCAGTTGCCGGGCGACCTGTTACTTGCCACTTTGAAGAAACGGACACTTCGAGGGAAAGGAGAGCCGGGCAATGCCGGGCATCTCCGGGCCAGGCCTGGCCTGGGGCACGACTTCCTGGAAGCAGCAAAGAGAAGGCGAAAGGGAACGTATCACCTTCGGGCAATCCCTGTCTCTGCGCACAAAGCCTTTTTAGGACTTCCGGGATTTGTTGCCAGAGTGATGTCCCAGCGTGCCTCAAGAAGTGCACGCGTGCGAGCCTCCTGCAGCTTCAGATCGAACCAAAGGTTGAGCGTCAGCACGGTGAGGTCCATTCAGCACGGTCCATAGCAGGCCACACGGCGTGACGGGCAACAAGTCACTGCTTCGCGACGTTAAACTCGCACTTATGGTCTTGGAAACCCAATCAGCCCCTACCGGTGGCAGGTCCTCTTGCCGCTTGACGCTTTGATCAGCAGCGTAATCTGTAATTGCGGGGACGGTCTTAACGGGGTGATGGTCTGGGCTGATCTGATGACATTAGCCATGAAACTTGACCTCACACACGGAAAGCGAAACTAACTCTCATTCTTCAGCAGAAACAGTGCGGGAAGTGTTGACGGTGACTGCGTGAGCTTCGCTGATCTCTGCCGAATCCTCCGCCATTTGGTTGTCAGCTCACGTGCTGCCAGGTTTCGTTGGTCGGCGCTTTCGAGTATGATCGAAATCTCTGCAAAAGCCTCCAGCCAAAACGTCCACAATCATGCAGGCAACTATAGCCGACCCAGGCAGCCGGCCCGGTCCCCTTGCCTGAGAGAAGCCTTTGGCGCGCAGCTTCTCCCCACCAGGCTGTCAAGAGCTTTGACTGTGCCTTCCGTTGCCGCCAGTTCCTCACTGGAAAACGGATGCAAAAAGGCCTGGTCTCTCCCCCCCTCTCTCTCTCTCTCTCTACTGGGAGTGTCATGGACAAGCCGTGAACCGTGGCTTAGTCACAACAACGAAGTCATTTATCAACTTATCAGCCAAGACTCATCAGTATCATTATCGACCGTTGACAGCGCCGCAAGCGCATGCTTGACCGCCACCAGGCGAAGAACCTCACTTCAGCTTTTTGCCAAGCTTCATCCTGACTTGGATGCCGTGTTTTGGGACTTTGCCTCTGCCAAGTGGCGCTATGGCCGTGACCATACCTTTGTGGTCTCCAGCATGAACTTTGCACGTCAGCAGATGTACCCATGCAGCTTGCCTTGGCTTGTGCTCCGAATGGCTCCGACCCAATGCTGCACGAACGATGCCTGCAGGCAGAAACTGCCACAGTTGGCGAGTCCTGCCCTTATCTCACAAATGGCCCAGCCTGCCATGAGCGGCGGCCATGCGCCAGCAATGAATGACCGGCCGCATAAAGTTGTAACGGTTGCGTGCCCTGGCAGGGCTTGGACTTCGGGAATAGATCCTCAGAGGGTATGGAAGCGTCTATGAAAGCACCCGCCCCGCTTCTGCATCCCCGTGGAAAGAGATTACTTGAGGGCCTGCTTGCGAAATCCTCCTGCTCCCGGAGCCGCAAGGCTCCTGCAGGAACTGCTGAAAAGAACCAGCGTGGGAGTGACTGTGCTTCGGAGCCCACAGTGGTTCAAGAGATGGACCTAGCCTTGACCTCTTCTTTGACCCCCCAGAACCTTTCCGACGCGTTTCCTCTGTACCGGTCCTTCGCACACCCGAAAAGCAATCTGCCCGGAATGAGTTCCCGTGCGCTGCTCTCTGCATGAACATGTATGAACAATCTGACATAGTAGTATCTGATTTAACTCTTTAACTTTAGTCTTATTGCGCCTGTCGCTCGGAACAGCTATGACATTTCATGTCCACGACTCTGTTTACGACTGCAAATCTAAGTGATAATCTAAGTATGCATGAATGGCTATGAGGATACCCATCCATTTTGCTCCTCTCTCTTCCTCCAGCTCCCGTCGAAATTGCAGCATACTGGCCTGAGCAAAGTGCCGCCTCGGTCAAAACATCACGACGACAAAGCTACTACAACAACGACGACCAATGCGGCGACTGCTACTGCTGCTGCTGCTACTACCACGACGACGACGACTACTACTACTACTACTGTTGCTGCTACTACTACTACTACTACTACTACTGCTACTGCTACTGCTACGACGACGACTGCTGCTACCACTACTGCTACTACTACGACTACGACGACGACTACTACTACTACTACTACAAGCTGCTACTCCTACAACTGCTACCATCACTACTACCACTGCTACTACTACTACTCCTCCTTTTCCTACTACTAGTACTAGTACTAGGGCGTGGGCGGATCGTATGCCCACGTTTGTTTGTCAGTCAGCTTCATTTTACTCGCTATTTACGAGTGATTTGGGCTTCAGACAGGTTCCAGAAATTACATCGGAATGGCGCAGTTGCGATTAGGCCCTGTGTGGTGCGCATTATTCACGCTTCACGGCAGGGTTGAGAGTCGCGACACAAAAACGTCGGCCAGAGCCAGGGCGATCTCCATGTTTCGACGCTGGCTGCTTCCATCTTGGCCTGTTTGGATGCAAGTAACGATATCCGTACTGTCATGCTTGTGGACTTTCCACGGTTGCAGTTTGCCGGGGACCATGTGTCTTTTCGGCAACAGGTGCGGCAATGGAGGGGCCATCAATGGAGATTTGCCTCGAAGCTTTGCGTGCGGACATCGGCAGGATTCTCTTGGAAATTCAACGTCACCGAGCAGTCTTCGAGCACACCACGGGCTTGCGACAACTCTTTCTGGCATGGGGCCGAATCCTAGATGACATAGCTTTCATGGGCACCGGCCTCTTGCTGTCGCCTAGCACTGTCGAAGACATGTCCCCGCGGGAGATGTGGGCCCAGACAAGTTTATTGAAGTTAAGGTGAAGACACAAGTGTGTGTCGGGGAACATGGAAGCGAAGGAAGCACCACTCTTCTAGTTTTCCTTCGAGTATTCCCAATAACTAAGTTGAGAAACCACAAATCCCGCAACGAAGCTGGAAGCCAGTGCCAAGCGCTTTCTTGAACGACTGTGGCAGGACACCGACAGCAGAAAACAATGCGCTGGCCTGGCCCCAAGTAGCAGCGGAGACCGAAAGAAGCCTGAGTCAATTTTAGAGTAAGGCCCAAGAACCCTGTTTTCCAGAGTCTGCGAGCATCCACGTCCGGGAGAGCCAGGTCTAAAGCAGTTGCCATTGCAGCCCCTAGAGCCAGCGCAAAACTGTCATCCACTGGACAGGACATGTTGCTCTTGCAGGGAATCTTCGAACCGAAACAACCTCCGGTGACAACAGCTGCATTTGAGAGTGCCATGACAACTAGAGTCAAAGCTGGCTGTGCAAGCAGGCTTGCCTGGTGCACCCAGCTTCGTGGTTCTTTTCGGCAAAGGCAGCCAAACCTTGTGATGGATGCTCCGAGGGCAGCCGATCAGGAACTTGCCGACATGGGGGACCTGCTTGTTGGGCTTGTCTTGCAAGCCCGAACTTCGCGTTCCGTCCCGCTCGACGATGCCAGCAGGGAAGACGACCGGCGCGTTGGCCTCCATCCAATTGAAAGCGGTTGCCAAGCGACGCTGTCCATACGGCCGGTCGACAAAGTCCCGGCATCGTCCTATCATGAGAGGTGCCGAATCCTGGGCTATTCTCAGAGCGAAACAATAAAGAGCCAGGAGCATGCCTCGACAATCTGCATCATAGCCAGCGGAAAGCAAGCTGTAGCAGGGAGCGTAGGCATACTTCCAGTTGATTCTTCGACATGTTGTTAGGTTTGCGATTGAGGCATTAAGGTAATGTTTTTGGGTTCAGGGTTTGGGCATCACGATATATTTTAAAAAACCCAAACCACAAAATCCTAAACCGTAGTTTACAAAGCAAAACAAGAAAAAACAAAAAACGGAAGCAATACATCATTGAAACAGAATGCGGGGTCGGTGAGCTGGACAAGCTTTGCTGCCGCATCGCAAGATCAAGGAAGTGCCTAGCAGGGTCGAAGCTTTCAGGAAACTCGGCGGACTATTGCTGTTGCACGTGGGGGAGTGCCTGTCTTGCTGAGAGGTGTGCGGCAGCTCCAGAAAGGTCGCTTTGCTTGTGTGCCAAAGAACTTCTGTAGTGCCAGCCAAGCCTGACGAGCGTTCAGGGCGAATAGCAAATCTATTGGACCTAAGCCGTTTGAAGCCTGCGTATGAACGTAACGAAAGACACCAACTCCTTGCTCGCACTTCTTCGGTGACCAAGAACAAAGCTCAGGGAAGGACACTTGCCGCAAAGCACGCAACTTGTGTGTGCGGGAGCGGTTGCCCGGTTGCCCTGAACAGGACAAGCCGTGTGCATGAAAAGCTTAGTTGATGCCATCTTTTTTCGCCAGTGTCTTCGACACGGGCGTTATGCGGCCATTCGCATAGCGCAAAACCTGCTGCTTCAGTCTGCCCTTCACGGCGGACCCCGAGCCTAGAAGGAGACTGCAAGACCGGAGACACGCGTGCTGCAAAGTCGTGCTCGCAAAACGGCGCAAAAGATCGAGTCTTTTGCTCTTGCGGGCACATGGGGTCTTTGCGCAGGACGCCCCTGTAGACACCAGAGTAGTGTCAGGATGTATTCAGCGACACGATGCGTCGGTTCCGAGACCCTAGAACAAAGCAGAACACGGAAAGGCTAAGTGTCGAACCTAGTCAACCCGAGAAGAAGTCCTCATCTGTGGGAAACGAAGATTCCACGGAATCCCGGAGCACGGAGCCCCGGAAGGCAGGCGTCTGTTCGTCCGCAGACAATGCCGGCCAAGTACGTTTGTAAGGATGGCTTGCCGCAGCAGCGAGCTCCTGAGGAAGGACCGGAAGGCCCCAGAGTTGCGCAAAACCTTGAACCTTGAAACTGACGACAGTGTTAGCCCAAGACCCCAAGACTTCACAGGGCAAGAAACCTCGCTCAACAGAGGGGCAGCGAAAAGCCATGCACCGAACCCCGACATGGCTTTACGCGGAGGCGAATTGATCAAGACAGTCAGATTTAGGTTAACTGCAAGACAGATGGTTAGTGCAACGCACACATGCAGCCCTGCCCGCAGATTGTTGTCTGCTGCTCCCGCAAAGCTCCTCACCCCCGGAGCCTGTAAAAGAGTGCACAATGTTTGTATGTAGGTGCGTATGTATGTACGTACGTACGCAGGCATGTAACATGTATGTATGTATGTATGTATGTATGTATGTATGTTCGTATGACATGTAATGCAATGCATTCTAAGGCAATGTCAGGAATGTATGCATGCATCTATTTATGTATGCACGCATGCATCGACGTCTGCATGTATGCACGTATGCATGCATGCATGTTTTGTACGGATGGGACATGGATGCCCTGGCAGAAGGGATGGGGTCTGGGTGGACGTTATCATGGTTGGGACATGGATGCTCTGGCAGAACGGTTGGGGCCTGGGCGGGTGGACGTTATCAACATGGATGCTCTGTGGCAATACTTTCTTTCTTCGGACCGCCGCAAGATGGTCTTGCGCTGCGAGGACGATGAATATCGCCGGCATCTCAGGATGCAAGCCTGCTGTAGGCTCCCCGGAGGAATCTCAGCCGCCACGCCATATGTATAGGTTACTACTACTACTACTACTACTACTACTGCTACTACTGCTACTACTGCTACTACTGCTACTACTGCTACTACTGCTACTGCTACTACTACTACTACTACTACTAGTGGTGCTGGATCTATAAGGGGGGCTTCATGCTGAAAAGCAAATGCATAGTTTTCTGGATGCTTTGAACCGGGGGCTGAAACAAGTGTCGTGTCGTCCGGCAAGATGAGTGTTACATCTGCAAGAAATACAACAGGGCTTGACTAAGTCGGGAGAGCCGGTAGCTTCACCACCGTCAAGCATCTCATGGTTGCACAAGCCTGAGGAACCGTACTGCTAGGAAGATTGTGACTGCTATTGCGTTTTTGAGAAACCCCCTCCTCAAGGGTCAATTCGTTCCAGGGCACGTTTGTTGTCGGTAAGCAATCCGACGTCGTTTCCCTCTCGCCCTCCTCCCCCATCCACCGCCCAGGATGGTCTGGCCCCGACCCACATTGGACGCCTTTGACTCCGCATTCGTGACACGAACGTTTGACTCCCCCAGTCCGGAACTTGGGAGTGGATCTAAATCCGGCAAATCCAAGGCACTGCCCTTGCAAGGCCGCTTGTCGCAGGACTGCAAAGGCGCGCCCCAGGAGAGCACAGCGGCTGGCTGCTTCCCACTTCCTTTGCTGGGCTTGGTTTTTGGAGACTCTTGGGGCTGACAGTTTCAGTCTTGCTGCTTTGTGGGGCTTTGAGCCCGAGGTATCTTGAAGAGTTTGCACTTGAACCTCAGGACCAGAAATATGAAGGTGCTTGAGACAAAAACTTCGTCAGGCGGCGGCAACATGGCCCCGGCCACCAGCTGAGTGAGCTTCTTTCCCTGCATTTGGAAAGCGATCTCCCTCTTTCTGCTCCTGCTGCTCTCTACCTCCAAGCGGAAGACCTGGAGGACCTTCCGCTCTGTCTTCTCAACAGGCTTTCCGCAGACTGCCACTTCAATCTCGGGCCTGGAGCAGCCAGACATCCGAGGGAGTAGAGTGCAGAAGGGCTCGCCGGGCCGCCACCGCCTCTGGATCCATGAACGCTTTCACTCGGCGAGCCTCATCAGGTCAAGATGGCACAAATCCTAAACAGGACCCTCCCACACCAAAGAGCCCAACAGAAAGTGCCACCTTCCGATTTCCACGGAGCACAGCGAAGCCGCACCAGCCGGCATGCAGATAGCGATTCCGACGCAGGGCCGCCAACTGCCAAGAGCTCTCTTACAAGAAGCCTTCGAAGACTTGTACTGGCCTGCGATCAGTGCGATTAGTGCTCCAGTCCTCCGGGCCTGGGAAGAAAGCTGCTCCTGCCACTTGGAGGCCCGGGCCCACTGCCGGCCTTGGCTTCTCGGCAGTGGCGAAGCGCGCGTGGAGACAAATAGGGCGAAGCATCGGGAAGCTCCCGAAGCGTGAATTAGAGCCAAGATGAGCCAAGAATCTCTGGCACGCGAGGCGCGACCACCTGCAGAGCGCAACCTGACGGCAGGAGCGGTTGATAGGGGAGCGCGAAAGCCGCTGCCTCCTGAAGCCTTGGCATCCAAAGGAAGCCCTGAAGAAGTGAAGAAGTGAACTTTTCCTCGGGTGCTGAGGCTGCTGAGGAGCCAGCAGCAGGCTCGAGGTCGTGGCAGTGGTTGCTCGGCTCACGTTGCTGGCTGCAAGCTGCCTATGCTGGCGTCGCTTGACGACATTTCGCCACCCAGACACGATGGCCGTGAGCAAGGGAACAAAGCCGAAGCTGTCCTGAGAGGGCGAGATCCAAACGTGAGTCGCGCACAGCCTCGTATGCTTCTGCCATTCTACGCTCTCGGCCCCAGGGGTCTAGGCGCTAGGCATGATAAATCCCAGCGAGGTGCCATTGCTCGCGCAGGCCTACGAGTCGGATGGGAACGTCGTGCAAAGAATAGCATCTTCCATCCCTGGAAGGAGAGGAGGACTCGCCGGGGCGTTTGTAGTTCGCCTTTCAACGCCAAAAGCCGGCTGCTGCGAAATCTTGCAGAAGCCTCTGCTGCAAGGTGACGCCACCTTGCCCAGGTCCTCTCAAGAAGCGCCCTTCCGCAAAGCTTCGCGAGCTCTTCTTTGGATGCCAACCGGCTTTGCCGAAAGTGTGCTGCACAATCACGGCGTTCAGAAATGTCCCTTGCAGCCGACTTCCAACCCGTGAACAGTGTACAAGAGTGCTGGCGTGCGTCCTCAGCACCTCGACGCTCCACAAATCTCCGTGCATGCAGTAGGGCTCGAGTACGGAATGAAAAAAGCCTCCAGCCACGGAAAATGCTCCGCAAGGCTTCGACTTCTGCAGCGATGCTCTCTCGCCACACCCGCAGCAGAGCCTTGAGCCCGACCTTTCCTGGCAGCGTCAGCCTGCACACTGCCCTCACCAATGCCTGTGTCTTTCCGTGTCGGACCTGTTGGATGCGGAGAAGATGCTGCCGAAGACAGTGTGTGTTCCAAGCGGACAGAAATCTGTGCATCGTCCGCCATCGAACAGACTGCAGCCTCGATGCGAGCCTGGAATTCAGCACCACGGCAAGGCGTCGAAGCATGTGCTCACGAGTCCATGCGCACCATGCGCGTGCGAGATAACGGCGTTGGCCTCGCCGAAGGATTCGCGTCAGCCACAACTGACACCATGGATTGTTAGAGATATCCCTTTCTCGGAGCGTTTGCATGCCCTTCTCGGACGAAGGTCGGACGACCGCCATGGCCTGAATGCTTCTGTCCACGGAAGGTCGGCCAGGCAGGAAAACTTGCAGACCCTTGTCCGAAGAAACTCGGACAGGTCTTGTTTGAATTGTTCCGAAACGCAGGCGCAACAAGGCGTCACGCCGGCGTCTCTCCTCATGTCACGAGTGGTGTCTGCAAAAGCACTCCCCGCTAACTGCCTGCACTTATCAGCATGCAGTTGCTGCCAGTAGCCACTTTCTGCGAGCCATGTGCGAACCGAGGCTCAAGGCATTTGTGCAAAACCCTCTGCAGCGCGAGAGCTGCTGTCTTCCTGCACTGCGGCAGCTACATGGAATCAAGTCGTGTGTCCTCCAGTTACTTTCACCTCCCAGCATCCCTCCGGCAGACCTTACCTGTATGCAGCATCGGCAGGTATCATAAAACCCTGCTTTCGAAGCAGCGTCCTTGTCGCAAAGCCTTTGTGCCACTGAAGAAGAACAGCGTGCAGTTGACTCGCAACCAAGCCATCTGCCATTAAAAGGAACCTGCGCCATAGCCATACAATACAACGGGCAGCGACATTCCGCAGCATAATTTGCACTGCCAAGTGTGTGTGATTTTCTGGCGAGAAGCAAACCCCGCAGCGACGGCTTCGGGGCACGAAGCTGACGAGGTGGAGGCGATCTTTGGCCTCGAGGTGAGCTTTCTGAAGACCTGCAGGAGAACCCAACCACGAGTTCAAGCTTGGCTACACTCTCCATATTTAGCCCTAACGCGCTTTTTCCTGCATGTGTGTGCGTGCGTGTGTGCGTGTGTGTGTGTGTGGTGTGTGTGTGTGTAACCCTGTGTCGAAGGGCAGTACAAAGATTCGCGGTATCAATGAGCGACTGTGCCGCGTGTGCTGTTTAAAAGAATTGTCTGTCTGGAGTCATGCCAGCCCGGAGTGCTCCTATCACTGCTAAGAGCTGGCATCTGACGAGTACAATTTTAGAAGCCTGACAGAGAGCCTTCGACGAAACTCCAGCAAGTCATTCAGTACCTGTGACACGTCTTTCAAGCCTGAAGCTCAGATGCTGTGATGATTCGGCTGTGGTGGCGCTTCGTACCGGGTTTGTTCCTTGTTGATGTTCTGAGTGATGCCGTCCTGCTGCTACTAAGGTGGGGGTTGGCGTCCGTTCCGCTCCGTCCTGTGTTCTGTGTGCGCTGTTACACCAAAACATATCCCAGATTCTACCCATTGTGGTTTCAATCAGTGTGTGTGTGTGCGTGTGTGTATGTGTCCGAACTGTGTGGGTGGGCGTGGCTGGTTGGCTGGGTCGCCGGGTGTGTGGGTGGGTGTTTCATGGTCTCCAGGACGTTGTGACATCCGGAAGAGTGCGGTGAAGCCTCAGAACTAATGCTGTGGGCCTGGAGTTGCAAATGCATTGCAAGCGGAGACATCCCGGTCGGGCTGCACGTTCTAATTCTGAGCCATCGAACCGCTCCAGGTACATAGGTGCCTTGGAGCTTTTCTCCAACTTTGCCAGCTTTCCCAGCTGTGCTCCTGGGTTGCTTCCAGATTGGTGTTTTAAAGAAACTTTTCGAAGACAAGGAAGCGTGAGCACTGCTGAAGGTTCCCCTATCAAAACCTCCATTGCACATTCTGATGGCCAGCGATACAAACCACACTGCAACCTGTATCCCACACTCTCTCGTTTGCTGCAGGTGCCAGTACTTACAGACTTGCAGGATTTAAGCTAGATGATGGTGGCTACACAACAGCAGGTTGACCGGGCTCAAGGGGGATCCAAGGGGTGGAGCACCCGACCAGACGATATACGATTGAAGAGAACTGAATGCAGGAACGCCCAGGGTGACCTTATTAATTTAGCAGCCGCGAATCACCATGGAGTATAAATCCTGAGAGTAGGCTGTGTCGAAGGATCATAGTTCAAGCAGCACTTAAAGCCCTGTAATATGCTTCAAGAGTTCGATGATCATCTAAGCACCTGCGCGATATTCCTGGTGTTTCTTCAAACGGGGACAGGGCGATCTACCTGCTGGGCTGGACATGTCCTTCGTCTTTTCGACAGTAGCCTTTCTTGGATCGGATGTTGCCTTTCAAAGTGATTGGGTTCCTTTTGAGTTTCGTTGCTCGAGAGCACTGCGTTTGGGGCAACCCCTCTTGGGTTACAGCAACGCTTCATTGTCGCCTTGATCAGGGGAAGCAGTTCTGTCAAAGTGGCACTTTGGGAGTTTTCCGACACATTGCTGTGTCCCGGGCCTACTTACATAGCGAGCATGGGCTTGCATCCCATGGCTCCTGACCATGACTCGCGTTCGGACTGTCATGCCCATCTGTGCTCAGAGCACTTTGCCACGGCGATGCCGGAATGTTCCTTGCATGACATGCAACTGCATTAGCCACACTAACCATGTCGAATACACGATGTCTTCACAAACACTCTGTCATCGAGATGCAATAATCTGCTCACTCGGTCGACGCCGTGAATTCGCTGTTTGTCAGACCAATCTTTGCCTGGGCATTGGCTGAACCGGCTGCCTGGCCAGACAAATGCTGCAAGATGCAGATTGGTCGTGCGCAGAGTGGACTTTCAGGCTTTGAGTGGACTTTCAGGCTTTGAGTATCGCACTGGTTGCTGAATCAGGGGGAGGCAGTCTCGGATCTTGTGGTTTGGCTGACACGGGCTCCACAGTGCATTCAGATGCCTTGCGCCGCTTGCCGATGCCAGCAGTTGAAGAAGCGGAGCAGCTGGTGTTTCATCCTCGTCCCACAGCATCAAGGCTTGCGCACTTATGCTTCAATGCACTGACAGAAGTGAATGCAATCCGGGAAGCTGGGCATGAAGAAGCTTCAGGCGAAGTGTTCTCGCCACTCCCTGACTCCACAGTTGCAGCTGCTCTTGCTTCTTCTGAGCCTTAGTTGCTAGTCACTGCTAGTCTCTCCAGGTTGCGGAGCTGCTTCTTCTTGGTCGTACAGGGCTTGACTCTCATAAGCGCCGCTGAGCAACAGATCTTTGCATCAGCAAAGCGGAACGCCTCCATCTCTGCCACGTTCTTGCCATACTGTGCTGACACGCTCGCGAAAGAGAAAGGAAGAGATTCACGGCTCCCATTCTCTTCTGCTTCAGGTGGGCCAAGACGAACATGGACCGACAACGAGAAACAATCATCGCTGCCCAAACCAGCGACTGTTCGACGTACTTGGTCACCAAACCCTCTGGATCTTCGCAGTGACTCAGGTCGCCTTGGCCCTGGGGCCACGGTCGAAGAGTCGACAACTCCTTGGCCTTGGCAGCCTCTTGCAACTCATGCGGATGTAAGTGTGACAGGAGCTCCCCCAAGCGCTCGAAGCCCAAAACGATCGGGATCAGCTCTCGGGGGCCTTCGCCTTCGTAGTCCACCTGCGTGCTCAAGCAACTGCTTAATTTTCGGGTTGCTGGGGGGTCGGGCAGGGCCAGACAAGGCTAGGCCGGCTAGGCAGCTAGGGACCTTTGGGACGAGGCGATCTGCGACATTCTCTTGGCGTTCCGCGGGCGCTGTGATGCCCCGCAGTGCTTCCAGCTTCTGCTCAGATCGGAAGAGGTCCTTGGACGCGGACTGGAGAAAGCCAGGTCTTCCAACATACTGCAGGCCCAAATAACTTCAGGCGCGAAGCTGATCGAACCCGCGCAAGCTCTTGCTGCAGGTGAATGGTCTCAGCAGGAACGCCGTGTGTCAGAACGAAGCAGAACAGGACGAAGCAACAGAGTCTCTCCAACCGGGCATGACGAGACGACAGGGTGCCTCCGACTGCAAGGTCGAAGGTTCTTGTTCAGGCACTTCCCAGGCGGTGGGATGGATGACAGTGATGGGCTCTGCCTGCGGCTCAGGTGGTTCAGCCGGGTAGGTCTCTGAATCCTGCAAGGTCGGGCTAAGCTGCGATCCTGCCTCGACATTCTGCCCACTCCAGGTATTGGGCTCCCAGCCATGCATGCTGACGCTCTTCGGCTTCTGACTCCGAACTAAGGCTAAGAGGTTTTGACTTCAGAAACGTATGCTTCAGAAACCTGCTCTGCTCTGCTCTGCTGCTCTGCCCTAGACTTTCGCGGCCGTGGCCCTTTTTTTCTCCTATCTTCTCTCTGAAAGTCTCTGAAACGCCTGTCAGTGCAGAGAGGGGGCTTCTGCCTAGCAGAAGCCTCGCAGGGCGCGCGGCATAAGGCATGACAATCTTGCCTGACTCTTCCGAGTGCTGGTCTCTTCCGAAGCCCTTCTTGGTGTGCACTCGTCGTGACAAAGCTCTTTTGATCTGCGTGGGGAAGCTCGAGCTATCCGCTAGAGTTTGCTTGAGTTGGAAGTGTGCTAATGTTTAATGAGTGTTGTCTGGACGGCCCGCCGACGGCTCATCGGCCTTCTTTGCCTAAAGGCATGCCCCAGTTCTAACTTAGGCGTTTGTGAACAAGTAGAGTGATAATCGGCTTGCGAGATCTCAAACTTCTACGTTGGTGGTGCTGCCCCAGGCTTTGGCATTGATGCGCTTCATCATCGCCTGTCAGATACAAACTGCACATGTTTTTTTGCACAGAAATTGCAATGAAGACACTTCCGCGGATACAGGGCTGGGCTTGCACATGTCTTTCGACTACACAGCATCTAAGGGACAGCATCTCTGTAACAGCACGACTTCTCGGCACAACGAGATGGAAGCGCTAATAGCTCAAAATGCAATTTTGGTGGACTACATCATGTGGAGGGGCACAGCCAGCCTTGATTTGCTTGTTTGGGCCGCACTCGTAAAAGTCGGTGAGCCCCGCCTGCTCTGCAGTCCACTTGGTCGAGGCAAGCTTTGATGGCTTTCTTTGTGTCGGTAAGGAGTCGCGGATACTTTGACAAAGGACACTTTGGCCTCGAGCATCTTCTGCATGGATGGTTCCCAGAGCACTGGGCTCGTGAGCTGCTTCTTAAGCAGGTCCACCACGGCCTCTTCTGCCGAGAAGGCAGGTGCACTCGGTCCTATCATCTCTGATTTGTTTGCGACTCATCCGCTGCACTCGTCGAGAAATATACTAAAGCTCATGAAGTCTTTTTACACTGTGGCCTGGACGACGGACGCGCGTTCTCTAAACTCCGAATTCGCGAGGCAGCCTCTGGTGCAGTGCCAGGCATCAGGGGCTCGGCGGTGGCATTCATGTACACCGTCTTCTTCAGCCTTTTGACGGACAGAGTCACTATATGGGCCTTTGAAGAGACAGCGCGGCTGGCTGACACAACAACAGCCTTCGAATTCTAGCCCATGGGTATGCAGCATGTAAGGCCTGGGATCAGCTGCTCACCGCTGAGATCCTACAAATACTAGCTCCGGGCTCAAGAGAGCACCGAACTCTACTTGGGGAGAACTGCCAAAGCGAGAGCTGTCCTGTGAGCTTGAGGAAGCATCCGAAAGTTGGAAAGGCACTTGCTGTCTTCGCAAAGGAAGGGTTTTCCAAGGACACGGCGGCTGCATGCCGGGAAGCATCTCATCCAGCGCCTGCTTCGGAATACACATGGGCAAAACAGGGTGAAATCTGCTGGGAGTGGGATCGGTAGACTCTACGGCCACAAGGCTGTAAACCCCTAGAAACAACTCTAACTCTGCACATTTGTGTGTTTTCGAATTGATGGCAGGCTCCAAATGCCGGATGCGCTCGATGGCAAGAACTCCAAACGAGACCGGACAAGCACCGGAAGCATCCGCAGATCGGCTTGGAGCCGCGCCGCCGCGCCGCATGGACGCACGACTCTCTGCACTCAGCCAGCCTTCGCCAGTCTCTGCTTGGCGGGCTCCATCAGCGAGGTGTGAAAGCCTCCGCTGGTTTTCAGCACCTGGATGGATCTGAACGTGGCTAGATGCTGTATGTAGCTTTTCATGGAACGGAGTCGCAGGGCCTGTTGTTGAGAAGATCACAAATCAGCAGGATCAAGCTAGGAGGCTGCATTGATCCTAAAGCCCGCAAATGTAACCACCGAGCCTTCTCGATGCTTTACCGCCTCGAAAAAAAGCACCCCTGGCCGCAGAAAGACAGGCCTTGGCTTGAAGTGCGCCATTCTTTTCCGCAAGATCCTGCCGCAGAGCTGAGGAAACCTGTTTCAGTCGGATAACCAAAACAAGACCAAGACCGGAGGCCAGCTGCATCCTAGTGAGAATCCAGGGCCTCTGCCCGAGGTCCAGGCTGACTACTGCAACTGACTAGCTGATACTGGCCGATGCTGGCTGCATGTGTTGGAAGACCCGAGGTCCTTAAGGATGTTGATGGCCTTCTCGGTCCCAGCACAGGAGAAACCTCAGAGCAAGGGCAAGCTTCGGCTTCAGCAGTGTCTCAGAGCTTCGTCTGAACCGAGGATAGTGCTGGCTAAGGACTGAAAATGGATATCAGGCGATTGCTGAGAGCCGAGGTACCAGGGATTTACCGAGTGTCTGGTACAGCACTCTGTGCTTTTGGGGATTCTTCTCCGCTCCCCCTCGCGCCCGTCACAGCAAGAATCTGCGACCCGGGGCCCTTCGGGAAGAGCTCATTCGCGATTTGGCACACCGCCTGCCAGGATATCCCCAGGTGCCCCAGTACTGCAGCCAGTGGGCCGGGGCTCGATTTACGGGAAACTGGCACTGGCCAATTTTGTCTTTTCGAGAGTTTACCAAGCTGGACAGATCAACAATACATCGGGGGGATCCTGCAACATATTGGACCCCTACTTGGCTTGTTGCTTCACTGCATGCTTGGCTTCTTGCTTAGCTTCTTTGCGGGCCCTACTTGGCTTCTTATTTGGCTTCTTTGTGGTGCATACTTGGTTGGCTTCTTGCTTGGCTCCTTTGTGGTCCCTAATTGGCTTCTTTGTGGCCTCTACTTGGCTTCTTTGTGGCCCTACTTGGCTTCTGTGCGGTCTCTACTTGGTTTCTAAGGGGCGAACTTCTGCACCTGTCCGATTGCAGAGAATCGAGTAATCAAATCCGCAAAACAAAATAGCCAAGTAGACAAGACACGGTCGTCAAGCGCCCAAGATAAAGTAGCCAAGTGTGTGGCAAGTGCCTACTGTAAAGAAGGCCTTTCTAAACCTGACAGAACGTGCTCTCAACCAAGACATGCTTCGAGTTCACGGCTTGTAACTGCAAGAGCTGCAGCATGCATGCAGCCGAAGGTGTCTGCAAGGGGCTCCTGGCCGCCCTCCTGCTTGCGGGCGTCATCACCTGAAGGGCTGTATGTGTCACCAGCTTTGCAAGTACTTGGCGCCTCTCCGCGAGGTATGCTACTGCTACTCATCCTGAGGCCAAGGGCACAGGCCCGACAGCTTGGGCTTCTCAAAGCCGGCGACGGAGAGCATGGCCTGCATCTTTTAGATTTGCGTTGCGGTCTGGCCGGAGTGCGTAGCTGCAAACGTGACGGCGGTTAAGACTCGTTTGAAAGGCGCCAATGTAACGTCGTAACGAAGCTGGATCCTTTGCCTCGAATAGAAGTCAAAAGAGCGGTGTCAAGTTGGAACGCGAAGCGATGCGTCCAGAACGATGCGGTCCAAACCGTGAGTTCATTAGTCTCTACTTAGTTGTGGAGCCTGCTTGCCAACGGCTGCTGCATCCTGCATTGCTTGGCCGCCTCAGCCATGCTAAAGCTGCTAAACCGCTTAGACAACCGCAAAGCTCGTCAGGCCCACAACTCACAATGCGTCAAACCCCATTCATCTTTGGACGGTCTCATCACTGCAAGCTCCCGGCGCAAGCTGACAAGCTTGAGCCCCTCCTGAACGGGACCCGTCACATGTGATCGGAGCTTTGGCTGCTGGTCACGACAAGCCTGTGGCACACAGCTTTCTAGCCTCAGCCTCCGTCCCGATTCTGGAAGGGGCAACTCTGACAGCTTCCGGGATGGAAGATTTTCAGCTCAGACCGCTACTTGTACAAAACCGGCATGTGTAAGTTCTTCCTGGAGGCACTGGTCAGCCGAACCCTGGACAACACCTGTTTAGGAATTGGAAGTCTCCGTTGACAGTAAGTGTCGACATCTTGAACCCCCAACCTGACTCCGCAGCATCCCTTCTTCCAAGCTTTGCTTTGCATCTTTTTCGAGCTGCTAGTCCAGCGACGGCCGTCAAGCTCTTCCTGAGGAAGTAAGATGAAGGGTCTGCTTCCATAGCAGCAGGATATAATATGCCAACCGCCGCTAAGCCGTGTGACGGATGGAAAAAACAGCAGCAAACGATATCTTCGCGGCCGTCAGGCAGCAGAAGACAATGCTCGCGTCACGAGCATCTCATTTTCTGACTGGCCACAGCTGCTTGCCGTTGCGGTGGAAAGCTGCACATTTCCTGAGAAAGCACCCCGAGTCACTGATCGCAAACCAGCTAAAGGACTTTTGGGGTTGATCAGACCAGGCGAGTTCGGAAGAGGCCTTTCGCTAGCCCTGGCGGAAGAAGCTCGGTTGAATGACAGGATGCGAGTCTTTCACCACGAAGTTGGGATCCGAAGCAGACATCGGAGCATACTTCGAGGTGCCGAGGACTTGCCTGCCGGCAGCAGAACACCTACTCTTACTTTGCAAGCTATTGATTCTCACACAGCCCGGAAGTGCAGCACGAGATAAACTGCTTTCACTAGGCTCTGAACTGGAACTGCAGACCTGCGATCCTGAAGCAAACCATCATCGGTCCTCAGGTGAACGAAGTCTTCTATGAAGTGCTCCTGAACCTCGGACAACAGAAGTCATAACTCCGGAATCTTTGGGAGCGCCCGTGCACTGGCTGTTGCGATCCAGCTTTCGGGGTCCATTGCAGGGGAGTTGAGGGGATCATCTTGGAGCCATCTCTTCACCGGGGGCTTGGTATGGGCTGGGCTTCTACAGCTATAACATTCTGGAATGTGCTAAACCAGAACCGATACATATATTATATACCTGCATCCCTGACAAAGACAAACCCCTGGAGCTGTGGTGCGAGGCTCTGTCGATGGCTTTCTGAACCAGAGACTGCAGCCCATCAGGAAGCCAAGGACATGTGCAAGGACTGGCAGAAGACTGGAGCAGTCGACTGCTTTTACCACTACTGGAGGACAAAGAAGAAGCAGCAACCACTGTCTTATGTTGTTTGTTTTTATCATTTTGCTTCTGGATTTATGTCGCATTTGCTTAGTGCAACGCGTGTTTGTGGAATTATTTCTCGTTGTGCTTGTGGACTTACCTGTGTTTCCGTCGTGACGATGCTGGATGCTGCTAAAACGCGAACCTCTCTCTCCGCCTCGCAATAGTCTTTGCTAAAATGGACACATGACGAACAGTGGCCGAGTTCGGAATGCAGGAGGAGCCAGCACCAACCTCTGCCACAAACTCCAGCCAAGCCGAACGCGTTATAAGTATAAAGCAGAACGACAATACTCCACCTGCAAAACAACCAACAAAGAAAACATGGACTTCACATTGTCGATCACTTCACAATCCTCCCGTCATACGACTTTTGTTTTCATTCCAATCGATGATTAATGCCTCGGCAGCACTGCGAGGCCTGTCGAAGAAGACCCTTTCTCAAGAAGATCCCCCTTTATTCTTACGATTGATGACTACGCCCAATCGCCGTGTTTCCGGGGCATATATTTGACGGCAGATTCCAGATGATGTTGGCGCGGCAGGGACTCTGTGCTGTAATGATTCAAAGACACACTTGTCTAAAGTCTAAAGAGGGAACCCTCACCGTAGATCATGGTATAGGGCGAAGACCTCCCTGCTTACCAGGCGAACAGCAACCTGATATGGCCGGGTGGGTTAGCAGGTGTACGAAGGCTCAGGCTTCTGTTGCGTGTAAAGCCGCACAGGTCCGAAGGTTGGGCTATCGGGTGTGGCTTCAATAAATTGCAGCTAACCTCAATCCGGCTCGCTTTCGCCGAGTTACAGCCTTCAGATTCTCCGGCGTCAAGCAACCACAGCCGACATCGTACTTCTTGAGTACGTGAGAGTGGTGATTCGTGCTGTTCAGCTTGAGAAATGCCAGGCGCTTGTCGACTTTGCGAACATTCTGCTCCAAATCCCCGACCATGGGCACCAGCTTGTCCACCTTGGAGGCGTAACCTGAGCATGCCAGGTCGTTAAAAGCATCTGCCTGTGTTAAGCCTAGCCACGGAGCTGAGAGCGAGGACTTAGGCATAGGCATAGGGGTCGGTATTGAACCCAACGAAAAGCGCCAGAGTAGCAGCCTAACTGAGCAAACTCGACCCTCCTTTTGGACAAGCGGCACCATTGAGGAATCATATGACAATCTTCGACCTCTGAGTCGGTTTTATACCTCGAAGCAGAGAGTTTACTACAGCAACCTTTCCCCTGCACTCAGTGTAAGAGCTTGTGTCCGGCCCGGAGCCTTGCGTCTCTGGCGATTCACTGTTAAGCAGCGACAATGCCCAGGCTGCCGTGACGAATCCCTTCTATCCCAGTATCACAGCTCCAGCTGTACTTCTCCAAGATGCGCTTTCATGACCAAGGACACCCACTTGTTGAAGGTAGCCTCGAGCCGTACACTCAGAAGGTGCGATGCCTCCCTTGTTTTCGTACACTCGCTTGCTCACTCCTTGAACCGATCATGTCACACAGTGTGAAACCTTCACCCTACCCTTAAGCCCTGCTAAAGGCTGCATTCTGGACCAACAACGGCAAGCTGTTCTTTGCTTCGTCCATGTAGCACAGTCTGGCGTGGCATGGGAGTCCAAGCCATCGGCCTTGTACCTCTCGCGGCTCTCAAGGCTTCAAGGATCTTCAAAAACGTCTCTTCGACCCTTCGAGGCTTTCTGCTTCCGGTATCAACATGCTCATAAAGCTGTGGGAAGTTGACAGGGACGGCTCGAGGCAGATACCCATTGAATGGAGGGGTTGAGGGGGTGGAGCAGTGAGGGAACCCCTGTTTCCCCATCTCTTTATCCCCTCCCGGAAAATTGCCCCCCTCCGGGCCTCCCCCTCACCCCTTCTCACCCCCCCAAACCCGCTCCCACCCCATCCACTTGAGGATGGAATCGGAGTCAATTCTTCCAGTGTGGCTTTGCATCACTGGCGGTGCAGGCAAATCAGTTTTTTTTTCCGCTGTCCTTCTTCGCTTGCAGCCGGGCCGAGGCGGACGACCCGAAGCGTTTAAAATGAAGAAGCAAAAGCCAAACCTTCGACAAGCCAGGAATTCAACCCAAATGCACCCAGCCTGTTGTACCAACCCTGCAGCCGCGCCCAGGCAAACTCCGAAACGAGTCGATCGCAAGGATCTCGCACGACGGCCTGGGGGAGAAATTGCCAAAGCACAAGGCAGCGTGCAGATTACACGGCACAGGCATCACCGGAGGCTTCCGGCTCAGAAGCCGGACACTTGCAGGTGAGGCACCCAGCTATCTGGGACGTGCTCCTGTGTTGGACAGGAAGCGCCACGCCGCAAAGACATGCTCAGGAGTGTACCGAGAGGTTCTTATTCTATCGCCGGTGGTCTCCGGGAAATGGCTGTTTTCACGTTCCGCCACTGTCAAACTCTTCAAACTCTTAGTGCTGGACGACACCTTGTTCGGGAGAGCCTGCATCCCTTGACCTGAACTTCTGTCAACCTCCTTCATTACCCATGCCGGTCCTGCGGAGGGTTGTGCTTCATGCAGAAAAATGGCACCTTCGACGGCCAAGTATCAGCTTTGCGTGTCATTCTGAAGTCTGAACCGCTTCTGACACATGATGCATCGACCATGACATCTCGTCTCATCCAATAAAGTCATAAAGGAAGCAGGTGTAGCAGGATCCAGCAAGTCTATTCCCTGCCGTCACACAACAGGTCATGGAAAACCCGAAGACCCCAAAACCCACGGCCTCCGGATACCTTCCAGAATCCGTGAAGTTCGAGCCCAAAGCTTTCCAAATGGAAGTGCCTCGACAGGTCTCATCACTGGTCTGCCCCAGAAATCATCCGGCCCCATAGTGGTTGGAGAGTAGGCATCCGTCAGTAGTAGGTTGAACCTCTAAATCTAGGCGCTAAGCACAGCCATTGAAATCTTGCAGAGGGCTCACACTTTCTCCTGCACCGTCACAAAAACTCCGACGAAGACAAGTCACCAGCTTGGCCGGAGCTTCTGAGGATAATCCATCCGCGGTGCGGTGCTACTTCCAATCTTCATTCACGTCGCGGAGCTGAGAAAAGCACTGCCCTACCCCAACTCGGCTGCCCGCCTGCAGTCTTCGGAATGTGCACGAAAATCGGGCCCTGGAGGTCGCTCCTCAATCACATTGAAAAACACACAAGTTTCAAGAGGTCCTCATTTTCACAACCAGCCATCGGCAGCAACTCATGGCTTTGAGACCCCGGGTCCTCAGCAGTCCCTTGATTCTCTTTCCCGGTGTTACCGGCGTGGTTGATGTCTCCAGCACAATAGCACGGACATGAGAAGCAACGACCTCGGAAGCAACACAGTGGATGATACTCGGTTAGATGGACTCCCTTGCAGCCAAAATGCAAGAGTATGGAGCAGAAGGATCTTCATTGTCCAGCGTTTGGAAGCAGCAGATATGCGCTTCCCGTTGAGCCCGAATGCAGCACGGGGTAAATCGGTGCATTGACATGGCTTGTGTTCGATCTTAAGCCCCTGAAACTCATTGACGGCCCTCGCCAAAGAGCCATTGCAGGCACTGCCAAGGTTTGTCAGCACAACAGCCCAGAGCTGACACCCTGAAGCCTGTGCCCCCTGCAACGCACCTCGAAGGTGAAGGCACCAGCTACGCAAAGCGCAGTGTACTCACCTGGACTCGTGCGCAAATGCGCCGACAACTTTGACATCGGCAAACAGGAAGTTGCGACGCACAGGCATGCCTCCGCACCCCCGCCCCCCGAACTTGTGCAGGCCTGTCCTGCCATACCTGCTTGGGCCGTCTCGGCTTCTTTAGCATGCTTGTCCGGTAGCAACATGTAGCTACCGTCGAGCGAGCTTTGTAATGACTGCCCTGGTTGTTTGCCTGTAGCTTTGCTTGGCTTCGGGGCAAGAGCCGAGGGCAGTCTCCTCGACCCGCCCGAGTGCGCTCCGCCATCCAACGGATGGATGGATGGGCTCGACTGTAGTTGGAGCGGCGTTCCCAAGTAAATTCAGGACTCCTCTTCGTTTCAGAAGGGTTATAGGGAGGGGGAGCAACCCCCACCCCCGCACTCAAGGCGTCCCACACAGTGCATGGGAAGCCTGGAGGAACACACTCGACAAAGGCAGACTACAAGCGATCAGAAATCGGACGCACGCAAGGTAGCCTTGCAGCACCATCCCCCTACTGCACAACTAAAGCAGGACTGACTACCCATCCCAACGAGTACTCACGTCCAGTGTGAAACCATGCTACGAGGGGAATCCCTTGTGCCATTCGCCTCTCAGATGTTCTTGTCGCTCCGACACAGGGAGCAGCATTGAAAAACCATCCCGCCAATGGTTGCCATACCAATTCAAGGATTGGAGGTGGCTGTTCAACCTCCTGAAACTCGTGAAACTCCCAGGGGAAAAGCCCCTGGTCCAAGCCAGGATTCATCTTCTCAGCGCAGGGCCGCTTGTGTCGGTTTCCAAACGGCTTGCATTTCGCTCTGTGCGACAACCATGAATGTGGCTATGCTTGCCAAATCCGCCTCTCTCTCTCTACCAGGTAGGGCAGCTCGGGAAGCGTCCAGTCCCAGACCCCCCGCGCCAGTGCGCGCACCCGCGGTCCTCGGGTGTCTCACTTTACCCCCCTGGGAATTTTCCCCAGAAGGGCTTGGCTGTACTCTCTGTCTCTCTATCTCTGCCTTGCCTTCCTTCCTTCCGTCCGTCCCCGGAGAAAGAGTCTGACCGTCGCCAAAAAGAGACTCTTCTTCCGTACAGACAAGAGGAATGCCACCCCACCCCTCCGCATGCAAGTGCGCACTGGGTCAGATTGGTCTCTCTCTCTCTGTCGCTCTCGCTCTCTCTCCCTCCTCTCTCTCTTCTTCCACAGAGCTTGGGGGACTGGTTAGATCCCCCGGCCATACGGGCCGCATATGTTATGGGGCTTTGAGGGGATTGCGAAAACATACTCACAGGTTCACATCCTTCACATATGTATTGTATGGTTAAATAAGGCAAATCCGGATGTTCCCCCATGTCCTGGACACCTGCATGAATTATTGCCCATTCCCAATGTGCAAAACTACAACGATGTAAGAATATGTTCAGGGAATCTTGTGCAGCAAGAACAGTATGTCTTTGTCTGCCAACCGTACGTCCTGTGTCCTAAGGTCGCCACGGAAAGACAGGCTCATGGTGGAAAGAACTGCTGCACGCAGGGAGATCTTTTTTAATATATCTTTATTTTTTGCGTTGCTAGGGGTCAGAGCCAGGAGCGTTTCTCTTGACTCGCGCTCAAGGCGCATCCCCGTCCACCCTATGTTTTTTTTTGGTCTCTGTCTCTCTGTCTCTACCAGGTGGGGGGACAAGCCTCTCTCTCTCTCTTTCTTTCGTTAGGGCTGTGGACTAGGGGAGCTCCC